TTTGAAACGATTATGAAACAATCTAACCGACATCCAGAAAAACTGTGGGTAGATAAAGGAAGTGAATTTTATAACAAATATATGAAATCTCTAGGATTTGAAATTTACAGCACGCATAATGAAGGTAAAGCCGTAGTTATTGAGAGATGTAATAGAACTCTAAAAAATAAATTATTCAAAAAGTTCACGGAATTGAAATCTCAAAAATGGCTTAAAATATTACCAGAGGTTGTAGATGAATACAATAACAAAATTCATTCATCTATAGGTGTCACACCAACACAAGCCACCAACAATCCAAATATTATAAAGTCAATTACGCGCAACATAACTACGAAAATGAAATAAAGAATTTAAATATCAAACCCAAATTTAAAGTCGGAGATCGAGTTCGTATTTTCAAATATAAAAGCAAATTCGAAAAAGGTTACGTTGGATACTGGACAAACGAAATATTCATCGTTGATAAAGTTAACACCACATCACCTCCGACATATGAATTAATCGATCAAGACAAAGAACAAATCATAGGTAGGTTTTATCAAAACGAACTTCAAAAACCGACTTTTAAAAATGAATATCTTTCTCGATAAATATGGAACCGATACAACCACAAACTTTCAACTTATGAGATGGGCGAATGAGTTAAATATATCACCGTTTTATTATTGTATGAGAGATGAAATAAATGATCTGAAATATAAGAAAGGTAAATTTTACGCTATAACAAATATACATACTTCCGATCAAAAAGGAGTTCATCATTCTGCTCTGTACAAAAACTCTTCAAATGACTTATATTTCTTCGATTCTTATGGATTAGAACCCACCGAAGAGATAGTGCAATTGACTAATCAACCAATCAAATGTTCAACATTTAAAATTCAATTACCGGGACAAAAGTTTTGTGGTCAGCTTTCACTTTGGGTTTTATATCAATTGAGTTTAGGAAAAAAGTTTGAAGAAATTGTAATAAATTTATCTCAATAAAAATGGCGAACAAGTTTGGATTAGGTTCTTTATCTTTAGAAACTAAAATACCCAACACAACAGCGTGGATAAATAAAGCGAAACCTTACTTTGTGGATCAAATCGGAGACACTCTTCGAGGTGATTTAGATATGAACAATTTCAAAGTAACTGATATAAAATCTCCGGAAAACGATAATGACGCTGTTCGCGAGAAATATTTACGGGAACAAATAAATTCAATTGAAGTAAATAAAAACCATTTAGAAGATAAAATAAGTAATGTGAAAAGATTCTTCAAACGTCAACTAAATAATAAAATTGAAATGAAATGAATGTAAACTACAACAAGAGGTAAAAGGTTTAATAAGTTTTATTCAAAAAGAATTGGTCAACGTAGTGAACAAAACTGAGTTACAAAATTTAATTGCATTAATATCTAAATTAGAGGATAAGATTTCAAAACAAAAATTAGACATTGAAAAATTAATAGATAACATTCCAGATGAAAATGAAGATAAGTTTCAACAGGAATTAAATGCTCTGGAAACTGAACTTAATAGTGAATTACAAAAAGAACTAAGAAATATTAAAAATCAAATACAAAACATAGATGATAGCGAAATCGAAACCTATATTCAACAACAATTACAGAATATCGATGATAGCGAAATCAAAACCTATATTCAACAACAAATACAAAATATTGATGATAGTGTTATTCAACAACAGATAACCACTATTAATAACCTAGTTTTGAAACAGGACAAAAATATAGTCGCATTAGAAAAAAGTATCTCAAGAAAGAATCATATTATTTCAATCTTCCATTTGGAAATTTGAGTTCTGTTCATGCTTCTATTACTGATAATATTGATGGATCAAAAGACTATGAATATAAAAAATATTGATTTACAGCAAATATAAGAGTATATAAACCAAAAATGATGATCCTCATAAAATGTTTCTTGATAATAATGCTTTTATTTTCAAAGGAAACTTGCAATTGAAATAACTTTTACTTTACAGGTAAAAGTTGATACAATATTCTTCAAACAAAACTTATATCAATTTGAAAAAGTTAACGCTCGTAAAGTTCTTCAGTTTATCAATGGTACAAAAAATGTAGAAACTAAAGAATTAGAAATTAACGACGAAAACAGCAAGCCTTATCACTTATATGAAATTAAAACGAGTGGAAAATATATAGATAGGTTTAGAATGTTAATCATACCAGATAAAGAAGAAGATGAATTTTCATTTAGTGTTTTTGATATGATAAAGGAAACGGAAAGTCCACCATCAATAAGTATTATTAGAAATCCAGAACCAAAACAAGTTGCAATCAGTTATCAGTTTTTACGAGCAACAGACTTTGAATACGTAAAACTATATTTTGTTAATAAAAGTTTTTTTCATAAAGACACATTTATCTATCCAACTGATTTATTTACCTCAATCGATATTCATAAAAGTCAACTAGGAAAACAATTTATAATATTTTCATCAATAATTGAACAAAATGATGTAACAGAAGTTGGAGGTATATATACCTGTAGATGTAAAATAAGCATCAATATCAAAAAAACAAAATTTTCAGTTCATCTGGATGAGATTAATGATTCGAAAGAACAAATATTCTTAGTAAGTGTAATAGTTTTTTTTATTAAACCTGAAATAATTATAACAGATAATGAAAAAATAAAGAATGAACGTCTTTATGGGCAACCTGTTGTAGATGTTAAACACTTTCCATATTTTGCTTTATCAGAAATTCACTTAATTCAATTACCTAAAAAAATGGAACTCGAAAGTGGACAACAATATATGATAGAAAAACAAAAAGGAACTAAAAGAAAAGCTAAATTCAATTCAACAATTCAACCAATGTAGAAAAACATGGAGTAGAATCGATTCTGTTTTCAAAACATTAAGCACAGTTCTAACAGTAGGGATAACGGTGGCAACAGCCGTAACCGTAGTTAATGCTTCAAATAATTGTCCCAACTGTATTAGCCGCGTTCACTGCCGTTCGAACTTCATCTTGTGGTTTGATTACTTTAGGTTTTACATCAAAACAGAAAGCTTATTATAAAAGGAAAACAGAAATTTTAAATACATATCTTAATAAATTATTCATTTTTTTCGAAAGATCGAGAGAAGATAAGAACATAACCATTGAAGAATTAGAAAAATTCAATGAAATTTTAGATAAATACAGAAATAGAAGATAATTACGATGAAAACGTATGGAGAACTTGTAGAGATGATAATACGGTAACGCAAGTTTCACCTCTAAAACTAAACGTTTTTCCAACCATTCACGATGATTGTTTATACGCATGGGATTGCGAAACCTATAGCGAAAATAAAGCCATTCCTTATTCTTGCACGTTAATTAATTTAGAAAAACTAAGAAAAATGTCAGACAGAATAAAACATAACTTTCCAGATTTAAATCCTACAGATAATGTTCCAGAAGAATTTTATAATAAATTAATGAATATAATAGAAATATTTGTAGGTACAGATTACATCGATCAAATGTTACAATGTTTAGGAAAAATAGATCAAAAAAGAATAACATTAATTGCTCATAACGCTAGCGGTTTTGATAACTGGATCATGATCAAAAACGTAAAAAAAACTAACACAATGCCCTTTAAAAACAGCCAGAGGAATTCTGTCTCTACCTTTAACTAATTCATTCACCGATGAAGATTTACAGAAAAAAATGGAAAAGACAGAAAGAAATAAAGGGTAACTCTCATTATTTGCAAAATATTGATTTCATATGTTCCTTTCAACATGAAACATCTAGTTTAGCGGCATGGGGTAATTCATCTAATCTACCAATGAATTTGAGAAAGATCGCCGATATTAATATTGCAAAATACACCAAAGATAATTGGGAACCTTTAAGACACGAATGGGAACCTTACGCTAAAAGAGATACGGTATGTCTCGGAGCTTGTTTGATAAAATACAATCAAGCAATGAAAGAAGTTGTATTTCAGAATATTTCCAATAATCTAACGGCTCCTTTATCTTTAAAGGGTTGGTATTGTTTATATCATTACGATAAAGAAATGGTTGAAGAAGAATGGTATGAAAGTACTAGAATGGTTCCGAAACACACCGAAAAAGAAAACGTAGAAAAAGTTTACTCACATACTCACCCTTTTATAAGATATTTTATCAGACGAAGTATTAAAGGAGGAAGAGTTTCGGCAAATCGACAATCATTTGAAACGAATAAAATGGATGAAATTTGTAATATATTAAAGGAATACACAGTAACACCAAGTGATAATATAATTGATTTATTCAAAGAATATAGTGCTAACCAAAAAGATAAAACGGAGGTTTATTCGAGACTTAAAAAAATAAAATGTACTAAACTAATGGCCTTTGATGCTAACGGTTTGTACGCTTTCGCCATGTCGGATTTAGACAGCGAATATCCGAGAGCGGAAAGTGGTAGACCATTTCGACAAGAAGAAAATAAAGAATTTGTTAAGCTCTTTAATGAGCAGAAATTCAGACCTAGAACTGCTATTTTAAAAGTCTGGTTTGAATATCCTACCAACATGTTCTTCCAACCCATACCCGCTAAAGATAAAATCAGTTTTACGAATAGAATAGGTAAAAAGGAAACTGGCACTAAAATCAGGTTCAGAAATGGTTTCTGTCACGACGTTTTAACATCGGTCGATATTCAAGAAAAAGTGAAAGCCGGTGGACGAATTATTAAAATATTAGATGGTATAGTTTACGAAGAAAATTTTAAATTTCCACCCTATAGAGATTATATTTTAATTTTGAGAGATCTAAGAAATAAATATAAACGAGAAGGTAATATTGTGGGTAGTAATTGCATGAAATTATTAGGCAATTCATTGTATGGTAAATCTATTTAGAAGGATATAACTACATCGAGACATCTATGGAGTGAAGCGACTTTAAAAGCCAACTTCGATTCACACGTTATAAACTATGAAAAAGTAAATGATAGTCAATATATAGTTGAGATAAATGAAGAAGAAAAAGAATTTGACTGTTCACCTCCTAAATCTACACGACTAACACCTAGTCATTTGGGATCATTCGTTTTATCTCACAGTAAAAAAATAATGAATAATTTTATTCACGTCATAGATGGATTTTATAAGCCTGAAATATACTATACGGATACCGATAGTTTATACATTTCGTCTAGCAATTGGGATAAATTAAATGAAGCTGGGTTGGTGTCCGAAAATGATTATTGTAAAGGAAAGAATGATTACGGTGATGGTGGAATTATATTTAGTTTATATTTAGCACCAAAAGTTAAATACAATATCATTCTAACTTCCGATGGTATTCTAAAAGAAAAGATATCCTTTGAAGATTATATTCGATTAGCTAATGGACACGATGTAACGAATGAATTTAATGGGTAAAAAGTTTCACCAATGGAGTAGTTATTCCAAAGGATGATGATAAACAAAAGAAAGTTTTTAGAAGTTATCTAAATCTCGTTAAGAGAAAAGCACCGGACAATGAAGGAATCATGTATCCTTACAACGACGGAAAAGAATTGAACATGGATGAAAACTACGAATTTGGTGATTATGATTATCTAACTATTCAAGAAGAGAATGAAAAGTGTTAATTTTTTTGTTTTAAATGAAGTTGAATAACAATTTCCTCGTTACCAAAATCTATTAACCTATTTTTACCATCTTTGATTTCCAGATTTATATCTTTAATCATAAAGGAATTAAGTGGTAAATACGTCGTTTGAAATGGTTTCTCTATAATTCTATATCCTATCGGAACAGTGAATGTTGGAAGACTGTAAATAATCTGACGTTTGTATTTATTGAAAAATCCACCGTTTATCAAATTGCAATGTATATTTATGACATCGATATCATTCTCGATATTAGCTTTGTGTGGTGCTAAAGTGGATTGGGTGTATATTTGTTTATCAAATCCTAGTAACGTATTCAATGAATTTTCTACGTTGAAATCAACTTTACTATTACTTTTTAATATCAATTTTATTTTGTTCAGATTCAAATTACCTTCGAATTCAATATTGTTTTTACCATTGACACTTCCTCCATATTCAGATAGGTATTCGAAGCTTCCTGGTAGTAAACGTATGGTTTTGAACGTAACTCCATTATCTGTTGATATTTTTATTTGGTTACTTTTTTCGTTGATATTTCTAATGGAATTGTAAACAGAGAAATACTTTAATCTCAATTCATATTCTTGATTGCGATCGAGTTCGTACTCATAATCTAGAGATAATTTAATGTCTGATTTATTTGAGGTGATGACGAATAGTTGTTCTTCATTTGACATTTTTAATCACGCTTTTATAATCATTTTTATCTATGATACCTTTTTCTAGGAGTCTTTTTAGTATACAATTCACTTCATTATATTGTCTGTGCGATCGATGTCCTTCCTTCATTGCCGCTAATATTACTCGTAATCTATTAAGTAGTTCCTCGTTGTAGTCGGATAAAAAAGTTATACCTTGTCCAGATGCCACCATATCATCGAAATCGTCTATTTCTTGTATGATTGGTGTATAATCTTCTGCATAATCATCTGTTACCTCTTCTGATTCATCATCTTCATATTCATCCGGAATAACTTTATTTAAATATGTTTCAACTGCTTTCTATCTTCTTGTTTCGGGTCCCGACTTTCTTATTGCATGTAGAAATTTTGAGTATGCTAGTAAATATTTGTAATCGGCAATGCCAATATACCCACCATTCATTAAATCTATTAACCCTTTTGTTAATGTAAATATTAAGTTTTTTGTATCGATTTTGAATATAGGGGAATTTGCCCTAAATTTTATTCTAAATCCATTAAACAATAACCCCTCATCATCAATGATTGGTGTAATACTCTTTGGTAAATCTGCTTTAGGGTTTGAAAAAAGACTATTAATATCATCTTATGTCCTAATTATAATACCACCATATGGATTCGGTTCTGGGTGATGAGGTTCTATAGGAGGAAGGGGTTCTATAGGAGGGATGAGTCTCTTTTTAATATCCTCTTGAGATTTTAATATGGGTTGAAATAGAGTTTGTAGATTTTCCGTTAATCCGAGTTGTTGTAATCTGTTATTTTCAACTTGGGTCTTTATTTTATTCTTAGCTTTGATATATTCTTTATTTCTTTTTAAAATAGTATTCCAATCGCTACTCATTTTTAAAAAAATAAAATTAACATATGCCGATCACAACTCTTTCACCTGCAGGTTTTCTAGTATTTACAAATACATATCCATGATCATCTGGGTTTCTCCATTGAGCTTTACAAACTTTTTTGAATGTATCTCTGTCCATTCCGTGATTTATCGACTGAATGATTTGAGATAAATCTTTATCGTTTAATTCAAATAAAAAAAAAACAATTTGCATTTTTTCTAATGAACATAGAATCCATCCCGTTAAAAGATTGGGATTGGTATATACAGTGACAGTTGTGATGTCTTCCTTTCGTGAAGAATTCTTGTTGAACGGCTTGATTTCTTTGCGCTACGAAGTCGTCAAACAATATTAAGTTCTTTCGTTTGCTATCAATATTAGACAAGTCTAGATCATTAACATTTTTAGTAAGAAAAACCTTTATATCAGTTGGATTCTTTCCTTCGATGTAGTTATCTATGATATCTTTTATTTCCACTTCTTCGTTTTCTTTGTAATATTGAAATAGGTCTTGAACATCTTTCTTCGGTAGATATTCTAAAGCTTTGAGGAATTGATAATACGATTGCTCTGGTGTTGTTGTGTAGATATACAAAGAATTGAAATCTAAAAGGTTTGGTGTTGTCAACATGTTAAAAGTGAGATGAGTTTTCCCAGATCCGGAACTACCGCATATACACATGAGCATTGGGTTATTAGGAAATATTTCTGAATGATTAAATTTTTTGCCCATTTTTTATTATTTTAATTTGTTCCAAAAATCACTCCTTCTCCTTTATACTTTGAAAGAAATATTCCTTCTCCAGTGTGTATATTTTTTAAAAATATTCCATTACCCTTATGTTTGACTTTGACTTCTCCCGTGTCAATACTATCTACTAATTTATTTAATCCTTG